GTGTCTGACTACAAAATGTATGATTTAATAAAAGAGGGTTTTTTTTAAATAAATTAAAAAAACAGTTAATTAGCAGAGTTTAAAAAGGTGAAAGAAAGTATTCCTCTGTATTTTAATTGAAAAGAGATTATGTTACAATGAATCTACATGTGAAAATGTGCTAAAAACAAATTCTGCATGTTAAGAATAACAAAGGAAACGTAATAAATTGAATTTAAGATTTAAAAGTACAAACGTTGTGTTAAATCATGTAGGTCAGACATACAGAGAGACATAGAGAGACAGATAAGGTGTGGGTGGACATCGGATGATTAATGTCAACAATTTGACTGGATGTCCAAAATGTGAAGATGTGATGCCCAGCAGGATAGGATGGATGGGTTTAAAGACCACAGAGACCCGGTGTTTAGAAAAAATGCATCTCAGCTGTTCCGATACTACTGACACATACAGGATCACTACAGGTTTTCGCTTGGGCAGTGGTTGTTCTTCTCTCCTGGATCGGCTGGAGCTTTCTTTAGGTGCCTTTCCAGCTTTGACAAAAGTCCAGCTGGGATAACCACATTTACTCAGGTCCTTCTTGATGTGATGTTGTCCTGCTTCCCTGGCCACTTTGTCAGTGGGGATGGTTTTTACTCTGTGTTGTAATGTCCTAATGACGCCCAGTTTATGCTCCAGTGGATTATGAGAAACCTTAAATACTGCTCCATATGCTTTGATTTACGGTAAACATCAGCTTTTAGATGTCCCCCATTACTGATGGAAATCCAGCAGTCTAAGAAGGCTAACCTGCCACTTTTCATATCCTCCCTGGTGAATTTGATGTGTTGGTCCACCAAGTTAATGTGATCCGTGAATTGTGGTACATCTTGAGATTTCATCACTCATCCAAAAAGTCACATGGATGAGTAATGAAACGTTTCTCCCACTGAAAATGCCATGTCCAGATGAACAACATCAACTATCAGAGTTTTGCTCACATCATTTTTTTCTCCATACTTACTGTGTCCTTATTTATTTTACACTCAAGCATACATTACTAATAATGCAAGCACATCATCTAATTACGTCAGCAGTTTCTTCCCAACATTAATAAAATATTAAAGATCGTGATAATACTCTGAAGGAATTTTTGCTCTAATATCATATATTTGTTTTTTTAATAATTTGAAAAAAAATGTTTTATGTTCGCAAGTGCATAAATATCTGAAGTTTTATGGAGATGATTTGATGTGGTTATTCAGCATGTAATTAAAGATTATTTTCACTTTTGAAATCCAAAGTAAAAATAATATTTTCACAGAAGAACTCATAACTGCATCAATAAATAAATAAATGCTAGAACTGATT